TAGAAAGAGGAGGCAGCAATGAAAAAGAAGAAATACCACTGAGGATGTTGTTACATGCTGTGGTCACCAAACAATAGGGTGGCCCAGCTGAGTGTGACACGGTGTCTACTTTAGTTAGGCAGCACTGGGTTGGCACATTTGAGGAGATGGCATTCAAACTGTTGTGCACCTATTGAAATAATATATTGTGTACTCTGCTTATTCTTGATAGATTTGAGATACTACCTAAATTTACACTAAATTAGATATACTAAATTAGATAATACACTAAATTTATATATGTATATAAATGTTTACATATAACATATTCAGATACATATACATTCACACTTGAGTTTATTTTTCTGAATTCTGTTCTGTTGCTCTATTTCTACTGTAGTACCACTCTATTTTATTTGTTTTAAAATTTAGTTACTTTATAAAGAACATCCCCACCTCCTTTGGTTACTGTACTATTCATATACATTTATCCTTAGGGTCAAATTTTATTAACTATTATCAAGTTCAGCAGAAACTGTTAAAAAATAAGCAGTTTTGATTTGGGTTCACTAACTATATCAATTTGAGGAAGATTACCATCTTTACAATATTCTTCCTATTGAGTAAAAAAAAAATTACCCTTCCTTTTATTCAGATCTTTCATTATGGTTTTTGTTAACTTTCATCATGAGGATCTTGCTTATTCCTAGTCAGTGTATTCTGAGGTGTTTCAATTTTTGTTGCTATTGTGATTGTGATTTAACCAGAGTTGTGACTTGGTTAAAAAAAATTAAGACACTGGGTTGCTGAGAATTATATCTGAAAACATTGTGCTACTGTGGTGTCTAAAACTTCATCACTATTGTATCTTCTTTATAAAGTATATTTTCATTATTAAAATATTCCTATTTATTCCATTTGATGTTTGGCCTTTTTAAAGAATAACAATATCAAAAACTCTGTGTTTTATATTTGAGGAAACCTCTGCATGAAGGAGATAAACCTAGGAAGGTGCTTATTTCAAATACCATGATTTACCATGAGCTTAATGTAGTGCTGGGGAGAAAAAACCCATAGTAAGTGCAAAGGAGAAAGGGAGAAAACATCTTAAGAGATTAGCATCAAATACATTTTATGATTGATACAGTTAAGTTTCACTTTAGCTTTTTAAAATGGCTTTCTATACTAATCTACCCAGGGTTCCATAGTATGCTTCATAGTAGGGACAAGCTCTGTGGCCTGTGGCAGGAGTGGAGGGGGTAGTAGGTTCTGCACTTAAGGGAATGAGAAGAATCTAGGAAGGTAGAGAAGACCAATATATAACCCATCAGAGTCTAAATTTGGGCTTTTAATTTTGCCTTATTATTAACTTATTGAAAGTAGGTTAATTTTTTGGAATGAGAATATCATATTTATTATTGCTTTTTAATGCATTTTTAATGAATTTTATTATTTTATTTTTTGGCTGCATTGGGTCTTTGGTTGCACACGGCTTTCTCTAGTTGTGGTGAGCACAGTCTGCTGTTTAGTTGGGGGGCCTGGGCTTCTCATTACAGTGGGCTTCTCATTACAGTGTCTTCTCATTACACAGGCTCTAGGGCATGCAGACTTCAGTAGTTGCAGTGCCTGGGCTCAGTAGTTAACGGCTTGTGGGCTTAGGTGCTTCACGGCATGTAGAATCTTTCCAGACCAAGGATTGAACCTGTGTCCCCTGCATTGATCAGTGGATTCTTAACCACTGGATCACCAGGGAAGCTCAGAAAGAAGGTATCATATTTGTGATCTATTACCTTTTTCACAAAGGGGCTTATATTTTATTTCCACATATACTCTACCTTACCTGTTATTGATATGGTCTCCTCCCTGTTTTTTGTTTGCTTTTGCCTGCTGCATCTTGTCTGTGTGTGTGCGTGCTCAGTCAGTCAGTCATGTCTGACTCTGTTACCCTATGCACTGTAGCCCACCAGGCTCCTCTGTCCATAGGATTCTCTAAGCAAGAATACTGGAGTCGGTTGCCATTTCCTCCTTCAGGGGATCTTTCTGATCCAGAGGTTGAACCTGCATCTCCTGTATCTCATGCATTGCAGGCAGATTCTTTACCACTGAGCCACCTGGGAAGCCCATGTCTTTTCTCTAGCATCCCCACTTTTTAAACCTTTTTGGTTTGTGTTTTGTGTGTGTCTCTTATATGTATATATGTGTTAGTTGCTCAGTTGTGACTGACTCTTTGCAGCCCCATGGACTATAGCCCGCCAGGCTCCTCTGTCCATGTAATTTTCCAGGGTCTCTTGTATATGCCATATAATTGTATTTTAAGCCAATTTTACTGCTTTTATCTTTTAATAGATAAAGCAAACCCATTTACATTTGTTGTTATACATGTATTGAGTCTTTCTTTTGTTATTTAATGATTTATCATTATTATGCTTTCTTGTTTCTTCCCCTTTCTTTAGAACGTTTTTCAAACTAATGATTTTTCTCATTTCTTTTTTTCCTTTCATAAAATGGAATTTCTGCCACGTATTTATATACTACTAGTAGCTACTTTTGGTGACAGAGGATAAGATGGTTGGATGGTATCACTGATTCAGCGGACATGAACTTGGGCAAACTCTGGGAGATGGTGAAGGACAGGGAAGCCAGGCGTGTTACAGTCCATGGGGTTGCGAAGAGTCCGACATGACTTGGCGACTGAACAACAAATAGCTACTTTTACTTTTCTTGACAATATTTGTCAATAATTTTTAACATGTTTTTGTTATTTTGATATGTTGATTTAAAAGTACTAGGAGAAAATAAATAATGAGGTAGAAAGAAATATAGTAAACTCTGTGCCTCAGGGTTGACACTTTTTCTAGAGTTCGTAGCCAGTAGGATGTAAAATATCCACATTGCTTGGAGATTGGTTTCATTCCATCTCTGAACTTGTCGTCCTTTTCTCTCTTTTGCTTATACACATATTACAGTGCTCTCTGTCCTTAAATGCAACCTTTTCCATTGCTTTATTTCCACAACTTATTCCTTATTTCCTTTCATACAGTCTTATTACTCATCTTCACAAAAAGTTTGAAGTAATTTCATCTGGCTGCTTCTGATTCCTCATCTTCCATTTATTCTTTTATCCACTGTAGGCTGACTTCTTCCTTCATCATTCTTCTGAAATTAGCTCATTTTCAAATCAGACATTCTTTTCAACCATCATGCTATCCAACCTACCTGACTTCTGATAGTGTTGACTAGCCCCTCTTCCTTGAAACCCTTTTTCCCCCCGAGTTTCAGTCCTGAGTCTGCCTACATCTCCCTTTCTGTCTTTCTCTCACTCTTGCGCTTGCTGAGAATTTCTGGGATCTTTTCTTGGCCTTCTCCTCACAACATGAGGAGTTGGATGGCTTTGGGTTCAAGCTGTATGATCTTGAATGTACTAACCTTTTTGATCCTCAGATTCCTCGTCGGTAAAATGATGACTTTAATTCTATCACTTTGGCAGGTTGTCCTTTGGGTTAAATGAGCTGAGGCATATGAATCTCCTCTTGGTAAAAAAATGAGTACAAGGTGAGTTATCAGTTAGTGTAACTGCCACTCAGTTAGTGTTCCCTCCTTGTATTAGTTAGGGTTCTCCAGAGAAAGAGAGCCAATAGGATATATGTAGATATACAGAGAGGTTATGATGAGTTGGCTCACACAGTTATGGAGGATGAAGCGTTCCCATGACCTTCCATCTGCACTGCAGAGGGCCCAGGAAAGCCAGTGCTGCAGTCCCACTCCTAACCAAGAGGTGTGAGATCCAGTGACTGGTGGTCTAAGTCCTGGTCTGAGTCTGAAGGCTCAGAACTAAGAGAGCTATGTTTAAGGGCTGGAGAAGATGGCTATCTCAGCTCAAGCAGAGAGAGCAAATTCACCTTTCTTCAGCCTTTTTGTTCTGTGTGGGCCCTCACTGGATTGGATGCTGCCCTTCCACCTTTTTTGTTACTCAATCTACCTATTCAAATGGGAGCACTCTTACAGAAGTACCCAGAAATAATGCTTTACCAACTCTCTGATCATACCTTAGCCCAGTCAAGTTGACATGTGAAATTAACCATCACACTCATCAAACATAGTGATTTCTTACAGTTTTGTTTCCTCATCTAAGAGATGGAAAACAAGGCCCAAATGGGCTTATAAGTTTGAAATGCCATTTTCAAGTCAAGCTGGGTGTTTTGTTGGTTGTCTCACAGACCAGCCACATTCTAGATTTATCCTATTTACACATGCTTTCCCCCCACTAACTGGAGTTTCCACCCAGTTATTGTAAAGCCTAAAATTCCATGTGCTGTCTCTACAGCTTTGAACCTTAGGGAGCTCCAGAGACCTAGTGTGAGTTCCCCTGCTCTCCCTGGATATGCGCCCACCTAGTGGGAAAAGCTCCCCACCCAGCTGGCTCCTGTCATTCTGGCCAGGTACACTTGTACTAATCCTCAACCTAATGGTTTTTTATCTTCCTACCAGCTCGAAAATGTTTTAACAGGCCAATGACACCTTCCCATGGTGGCCAAGGGCCACACTGTCTTAAAGCCTGCCTCCCACAGCCCATGCAGGCTCACTGTTTCTGAATACAACCACCAAATGGTCTTGCATGGTGTGGAGTGTCCTCCCCCAGGTTGTGAGAATATGTGACTAATAACTGCTGTCAATCTCTTCTCTCCAGTGCTGTGTGTCATGTATTTGGTCATCCTGTGCTATTTAGGGTGGGGAACCCGTCCTTTCATCAGTGAGGTGAATAGGATACAATCAGAATACTATCTACTCTTCTCCACTGCTAATCTAGAGCAGCCTTCAATGTCTTTCCCTGTTACTCCTTAGGTCTGTCCCTGATTGTTTTATAATAATGTCGGTTTTTGTTGCAGAGGTGGTTTCTTTTGGAAGATAACATTTTCTCTCACAGATCTCTTTATCCTATCCCATCTAATGCTGCTTGTTTTTTGTTATTTTTCTTTTACTTCCCTCAGAGGGTGTTATTGGCATAATTCTTTTTTAAGCAGGAATTTATAGTTTCAGGATTCAAGGATGTGTCTGTGGACTTCACCTGGGAGGAGTGGGTCCATCTAGATTCTTCTCAGAGGAACCTGTATGGGAAAGTGATGCTGAGAAACTATAGGACTTCACTGGGTAAGGACTTCTTGTAACTCAAAACCTACATATCTTTCCTACCACTGACAGCTTCTACAGCCTCTGGAATTTTTGAATTTGTACTTGAAATCCTGATACTACAGGACATTATTTCCTTGTTGTCCTCTCAAGATGAAAGGTCTTTTCTGTAGAGAATGGAAAAATGGGAAATCTCAGAAGCCACACACTCTCAGAAGCCCTGAAAGGGAAGGGATAAGACATGCTGGGAGTGATTTTTATGCTCAGTTCAGAACTCAAATGTAGTGTTTTTCTTCCCGAGCAGGACATCAGCTTTCCAAACCAAATGTGATTTCTCAGCTGGATTGAGAACTGAACTGATGACAAAAGAACATTCTGGGTGCATCTCCGCAGGTAAGGATCAGGTTGCAAAGACTTGTTTTATGAGTGTCACCTTGGGGAGAAACGACTTCAGAGGTCCTTGAGTCTCATGAGACCTGTACCATCTGCTGTGTGTTGAGTCACTGAGTGATGTGTTACAAATACCTTCTCTAGTATGTACTTTTTTTTTTGTCTTCTGATGCTTGGGACCAATTTAGTCGTCCAGTGTTTATGCTCCCATTTGATTTTTATGCTCCGCCCTTGTTCTCCTACTTTTATTATTTTAAACATTTCTTGAGCCTCTGGTTTCCAAATCTTTTATTTTCTGTGTGTCAGTCTCCTTTCCATAGTTTTGTCTCTCTGGACTTTGTCCAACAGTGTGAACATATGCCCTGTGTCCTGTGGTGTTTACTGGGCAGCACTTGTTGGCACTTCACACCTGACAGGATAGGTCTTCTTTGAGGTTACTTGGTGGTGTGTGTGTTTCACAGGCGCACCCTGCTTGGCTTTCCACTTTTTCTCTTCTTCTGTGTAACTGGGTCAGATTAGAAGGATAAAGTCCAGTTCATGCATATCTTTTGCTTCCACAGTAAAGCCTCCTGCCCGTAGGCCTCTGATCTCTTGGTTCACTGTTGATCTCTGCTCTGGTAATCTTGATCAACCTGACAAATGGATTCTCAGACTGCAGTTTCCTGTCCTCTGCCTCTCATTGCTTCCAGGCCATTTTGTCTGGGATAAGAAATGGGATCAGTGAAAACAAAGTCTTGAGTGGTTACAAGGCCTTCCCTCCTGCCCCATTTCAAGCAGTTCAACAGGTTCTCCCCTGCCCGCCTCTGCCACTAGTTCTTATCTTCAAGGAATGGGTGTTTAGGAAAGGGTAGGGCCCTTTAGGATTCTCTTCCCTAAACAGAGGGAGAAAATCAGGCTCCTTGGGCAGAAGGGAGGAGCTTTGAGACTGTGCCATCCTCCCTTGAGAGTTTAAGTTTCAAGTATGTTCTGATACTTTATCCTCCTGACAGGTATGTACCCTAAGGGTAGTTTATATACATTAATTTACTTAGTCCTTATGAGATTATTTGCATCCTCATTTTATATCTGTGAAACTCAGCCTCTTAAGTACTTACTTGTTTCTAAGTGTTAACAGCCAGTGTTTAAACCCAAGTTTGTCTGCCTCCATGGTAAACAATCTTTTCACTATATCACACTATTATGTTTTATGAAGATTTAATATCAGAATTACAGGCAGCCTGCAGGAGAGAAGAAACTGCTGGTAAATGTGCCATGGCTTTTTGATCTGCCTCTCCTAATCCCAGCTTGTCTGTATATCTTCCCTTAGTTCCATCTTCCTTATTTAGCCTTGTCCAGCAGTCAGTGACTTCAATATCTGTCCCTCCTGCATAGGCTCACTCTTTCCTCTGCTTACCCTGCTTCTAGTTCCCCTGTTATTTATGGGTGGCTCACTGTTCTTTCCCTCCCTTCCAATTCTCTTCCTAATTATAGGGACATCCTTGCTCTCAAATGTGCCATATAGTTATTCTCAGTTGCGTTCTCTCATTCCCATCTTATACAGTTTTCAATCTCCTAGTATAGAAACAATTTTGAATTTTTATTTTTTTCAGACTAGAAGACCAAGACTTGAAACAAAAGAGTCAACTACGAAGCCCAAGTTACTGAAGATTTATCTTATGGGGTAATAATGGAAAGGGAAGGTCTCTGGCATTCTTCTTTACGGGAAACCTGGGAACCTGATAATTGGTTAGAGGGGCAACAGGAAAACCAGGATAGACATCTGGGCCAAGTGCACATTACCCATAAGGAAACCCTCACTGAGCGAAGGACATGTGGAGGTAATGAACTTGAAAGATGTTCCAGTCAGGGTTCAATCATTGATATACAACAAACTATTCCTGTGGGGAAAAGTCCTCACAATTGGAATTCACATGGAAAAGACGGTAAACAAAATGTTGAATTAATTAAAACTCAAAGAATGTTTGCAGGAGAGAAAGTCTATGAATGTAATGAGTGTGGGAAAACCTTCAGCCAGAGTTCATCTCTTCTTAAGCACCAGAGAATTCATACGGGGGAGAAACCCTATAAGTGTAATGTATGTGAGAAACACTTCATTGAACGTTCCTCACTTACTGTACATCAAAGAATTCACACTGGAGAGAAACCGTACAAATGTAATGAATGTGGGAAAACCTTCAGTCAGAGCATGAACCTTACTGTTCATCAAAGAACTCATACTGGAGAGAAACCATATCAATGTAAAGAGTGTGGAAAAGCTTTTCGCAAGAATTCATCCCTCATTCAACATGAAAGGATTCATACTGGAGAGAAACCCTACAAATGTAATGAATGTGGTAAAGCTTTTACCCAAAGTATGAATCTCACAGTGCATCAAAGAACTCATACAGGAGAAAAACCCTATGAATGTAATGAATGTGGAAAAGCCTTCAGTCAAAGTATGCATCTTACTGTACATCAGAGAAGTCATACTGGAGAAAAACCCTATGAGTGTAATGAATGTGGAAAAGCCTTTAGTAAGAGCTCAGCTCTTACCCTGCATCAGCGAAATCATACTGGAGAAAAACCCTACAAATGTAACAAATGTGGGAAATCATTTAGCCAAAGTACATACCTTATAGAGCATCAGAGACTTCATTCTGGAGTAAAACCTTTTGAATGTAATCAGTGTGGGAAAGCTTTCAGTAAGAATTCATCTCTTACTCAACATCGGAGAATTCATACTGGAGAGAAACCTTATGAGTGTATGGTATGTGGAAAACATTTCACTGGGCGATCATCCCTTACTGTACATCAGGTTATTCATACTGGAGAGAAGCCTTATGAATGCAGTGAATGTGGAAAGGCCTTCAGCCAGAGTGCATACCTTATTGAGCATCAAAGAATTCATACTGGTGAGAAGCCCTATGAATGCGATCAGTGTGGAAAAGCCTTCATTAAGAATTCATCCCTTATAGTGCACCAGAGAACTCATACAGGAGAGAAACCCTATCAGTGTAATGAATGTGGAAAAGCCTTCAGTCGGAGTACAAATCTTACACGGCATCAGAGAACTCATACGTGAGGAAAACATGGGACCCTTCATCATGATTAACTCTTCAGTGGTAATCAGATAAGTCTTGTAATATAGAAACCTAATAAATGTAATGATTCCAGTAATTTTTTAGTTGAAGTATAATATACAATGTCAGAAAATACAGACCACTGCAGAGAAACCACATAAAAGTGGAGAGAAATCTTGATTCAGAAAGTAAAACTTACTTTATACCAGAAGGTTTAAATAACTAATGTTCTAAGCAGTGAGGATTCATGCTGAAGATAAGTTCTATTGTATTATACTGCAGATTCTCCTTTGGACATCAGAGACTTCACACTGGAGAGAAAATGTGAGAGTGCTTAACTGGACAGCCCAAAGACCTGGTATGTAGTCCTGATCTGCTACTAACTTGGACAAGGCGCTTACTTTCACCAGGTCCCAGTGTCCTGATTTGGTAAATGAGGGATTTTTAGATTTAGAAGGCTCCAAGAGTGCTATAAGCTCTAAAATGCTACAATCCCATAAATATAATGAATGCTTGAAAATCCTTGATTTTTCACCATCTTATATATGTTTTCTAGATGCTCCTATTCCACAATCTGGTTTCCCTGAATCTACTGAGTCAAAATTTTGTACCTTGACCAACTTCTATGATCATTCCATGTCCTCCCCTACACCCTTTTATTTTCTCCTCTGAAATATTGGCTGGTTGCTACCAGATGACAGAATAATTGTACAGATCTGAATACAATAGCATGCTGTTTTAATTCTCCACTAACAGTCATTAAACTATTGTTAATAAGCTAATTATTTAGAAAACAATATAACAAATATAGTCTTAGACTACATAGGATTCAAACACATCTTTGGATTGTACTTTTAACTATCAAAGTGGAAAGGAGAGGAAGCTAAACACTAGCAGACATGAAAATGTTATTATTAATATGTTATTAATGAAAATTTTGTTATTAACAAAATCTTTGCAACTTATAAAATATTCAAAACAGTCATAGGGAGAGATTTTATAGATCTATAGTTATGAGAGTAGTTAAAGCAATTTCACTTGTAGGTGATAAATATGATTAGGAAATCAAACTGAAAAAGATAATCTTTGTTTTCCTAGGGCTAAACTAAGAAACTAGCAGTGGAATGGGAGAGAAAAGGAAGAATTCAAGCAATGATAAGGCAGAATCTAGGTAATCAATTAAGTGTGAGCACTCAGATTTATTTAGGTGGATGGCTGCCATAATTAACACAAAAAGTTGACTGACTTTGTGGGGCAATGATGAGTTTGGTCTGGGGGCATTTTATGAATGAGCGGTATCCAAATGAAGATTCCTGATAGGCAGTTGAATAAGTAGAAGGGTGGTGACAAAAGGGTATTCTGGGAGTACTGTCTTTAAATGCAGTAAGTGGAAGGCTAAACTAAGGAGCTTCACTGGTAGCTCAGCTGCTAAAGAATCTGCCTGCAATGAGGGAAACTTGAGTTTAATCTCTGGGTTGGAAAGATCCCCTGGAGGAGGGCATGGCAACCCACTTCAGTATTGTTACCTGGAGAATCCCCATGGACTGAGGACCCTGGTGGGCTATATAGTCCATGGGGTCATAAAGAGTCAGACATGACTTAGCACACACAAATGGGAGATGTCAAATTAGTAAAATCTGAGGAGAAAAAACAGGCAAAAAAAAAAGAAATGAAAAACAGAAAAATCAGGAGAAGGTGGTGGCATAGAAGTAAAAGAATTTTAGCATATGGATAGATTTTCAAATGCTACAATAAGGTAAAAATAGAAAATGGCCTTTGTTTTTTGATAATCTCTGTAACTTTTAGTGGGTTGAAGAGTGAGTTAAAGGTTGAAAAAGACTTAATAGCTTGATTGACAAAGGAGAAATTTAGGAAAGGTAACTAGAGGGAGACTGGTTGAGAGGGAAAGCTTTTGGCTACAAATAACAGAAAGCCCAAATAACAATGGCTTGCAAGCAAACAGGGATTTATTTTTCTCCCATAACTAATCTGGAGGTGGTTGGCATTGTTCCAAAGGCAAAATAATTCAGTGCCTTGAGTGTTATGACTTTTTCATCATGTCACAGGATGGCTCCCATAGTTCACGTAAAATACCTGCATTCAAAGCAGGAAGAAAGGGGGTGGGTAACACCAGCAACATCTGTGCCTTTTATCAGAAAAGGTTTTCCCAGAAGCCCTCAGCAGACTTCTGATTACCTCTCATTGACCATAGCTGCTGTGTGTTGCATGGAGGCTAGGAGCCAAGGAGTCTGAAAAAAAAAAAATTTAGCTCTTCCAGCCTCTATAGTGGAGTTTAGGCAAGCAAAGGGGGGATTGAGAAAGGTGTTGATTCAGCCAACAAATAATCTGCCAGGAGCATTTGTATGATTTAAGGCAGAAGAATTGAGCGGGTTTATCACTGCATGGGAGAGTCTGAAAGTGAAGAGAGGAGGGAATGTGCAGTTCAAAGTGGGGAAATCAGATCTAGGGCAGAGGCAGAGGCCACAGGGATCTTTTTCAACAGGAGGAAGGAAACTTTCTACTGGGAGAGGGGTGATCAAGAAACAATCGGTACAGAAGATATTTCTGGATAGCAATGGAGGAGGTTTCCCATGGATTCTTGAGTGTTTAGAACTACAGCATTTTGATCTCTGTGGGCTACAGGACCTCTACAGAGTTAAAAAAAAAAAAAAAAGCAAGGACTAAGGGGGAATGAAACACTGAATCAATTATAGCCTCAGAAACTCAGACTTTAAATGTCTCTCCCTTACACCAGCTTCTTCCTTTCCCTTCATATATTTGTTTTTCTTGTTCCCCACCTGATCTCAAGAGATAGAAATGAAGGGGAAGAAGGAAGCAGAGAGATAGGCAGAAAATAGATGGAAAATGAAAAAGTAGCAAAATTAAAGGCTCAAAGGGAGGCAGAGGACAAGGAGGAGAGGAAGAATAAAATGTACTGAAGCTTATAAGATGGATGTGATAACCCAAAATTGGTAAAATATTAACCCTTAGAGGGAGCAGCAGGAGAAATGGGTCAAATAAATGAAGGTTTCACATTTTCAGGAGTTTTGGAAGCTTCGGGTCCTCATGTGTCAGTGCTCAGCCATCCTGGGCAACGAGAGGAAACTTCTGCACATTTCTTCTACCAGCAGGGGCAGGATTCCTGGTCCCTAGACATGAGACCTTGGACAAGGCACTTAATATATCGCTGTCTGTTTTCTTATTTGTTAACAGTGCAGACCTTATAGCTTTGGATTACATTCAGTACTAATGTAAAATGCTTAGTGCCCAACCCATACTTAGTGCTAAATAAATATTCTATTATCATTTTCGTATATATGAACAATATCCAAACTTACTAGCATGGCATCCAGAGCCCTTAATTATCTCAATTATCTTGGGCTGTCAAAGCAAATGCCTTGTAGGAAGGTTGTATAATTGCAGGAGGTTCTCTCCTCCTTCTATTACCCCACTGCTGTAATAGCCTTCTAACTGCTTTCCCTATATTAGCTCTAGCCCTACCACAGCCTTTTCTCCCCAAAGCAGACCAGTGATTCTGTCAAAATGTATTCAGCCACACCACCCTTTTGCTCAAACCCCTTTGATGGTTTCCTATAACATGAAGAACAATCCAAACTTTTTACCATGGCCTTCAAGCCCTCTAGTCCCTTCTAATCTCTCCCACTCTCGCTTGTTGACTGTGCCCTCTCCTGTCATAGTGGCCTTGTTAAACCACAGACTCACCAAGCACGCTTCCATCTCTGGTCAGCATTTCTGTTCTCTTCGCAAATATTCACATGTTTTCCTTCCTTACTGCCTTCAGATCTCTGCTCAAATGTTACCTCCTCAAAGAGAACTCCAAATGCTACTTAAAATAATCCCCATTTCCCCACCCAGTCGCACTCTAAACCTAACAGCCTAAGTGTGTCATCAGTTCAGTTGCCCAGTAGTGACTGACTCTGCGACCCCATGGACTGCAGCACGCCAGCCTTCCCTGTCCATCACCAACTCCTGGGGCTTGCTCAAACTCATGTCCATCGAGTTGGTGATGCCATCCAACCATCTCATCCTCTGTCGTAACCTTCTCCTCCAGCATCAGGGTCTTTTCCAATGAGTGAGTTCTCCGCATCAGGTGGCCAAAGTATTGGAGCTTCGGCTCCAGCATCGGTCCTTTGGTGTATCATCACTACCTAATAAAATATTTTGTTTACTGAGTACTACCTCTAGTAGAATTTAACCTGCGACAGTGCTGTTGTTCAGTCGCTCAACCGTGTCTCTTTGCTACCCCACGTACTGCAGCATGCCACGCTTTCAGTATTTCTCCAGCCCTTGGAACAGTGCCTGCCCCAAGCAGACACTCCAAAGGTGTGTACAGAATGAAATCGTCAATAAAAACTAAAACAGAACGCCATAAGTTAACACTGCTTTCTAAGATGTGGACAACAGTTCCCTAGTTGACAAATCTCAGGTCCCATTATTGGCACTTTTTTTTTTTCTTTTTTGCGGGTGGGGTGGGGGGCGGTGCGGAGAGGGGCATAAACTTAAAACCCTTTCATGTTTACTTTCCGAGCTCCCAGAAAATACATATTCAAAGGCAACTAAATATCTCCAGGTGGAGTTCTGGAGATCTCCAGATCTATACTTTATCTCATCCTTGCCCGCCTCCGCAAAATACTGTCCCCAAAAATAAATACCACCTCTCTATACAGCAGCCGATTGTACAAAACAAACTCCTTGGCATCCAGGCTAAGCCGTGGAGAACCAAATTTATTCTACCTCGTGGACGTTTCTAGCACCATGCCCCCTGTCCTGTGGCCACCACTCTGGTCCCAGCCAGCATCCGCTGAGTCCTGAACTCCCACGGCAGCCTCCTCAGTCATGCGCCCGCACCTCCGTCGACCTAGTCCCAGCATCCCACTCATCGCCCGAACCCCGCTCCGGCCCCAACACCAGAACCCACTGTTAGCATCCGTAGCGCTCCCGTGGCCGAAGCACGGCCCCACGGCCTTCTCTAGTCAT